GCAAAAAGTACCGTCATATATCCCGGAGATAAATCACGTGACGTCTGAATACTTTCAAGTGTTGCGATTTTAATTCTTTGCAGCCAGCGGTACGAATTTTCAGCTATTTCAGTTGACTTGAAGTTAGGAATTTATGCTATAAAGTTTTTATTGCTTTTTATGTTACTTTGTGAAGTACTTCAATGTAATGGAGAAGTTCATTTAAATGTTTATAATTTATCTTTTTTTATTTTTATAATGATAAAATAGAAAGCCTTCAATTCAATTTTTCTTTCCATTTCATTTAAATACGAAGTAAGAGTTACTATTTCTACAGTAATTAAGATTTAATATGAAATAATTTTATCGTGTAATCGTCTAATTTTTATAATTAAAAGTATTAAAACTACCTTTACATATATATATATATATATATATATATATATATATATATACATTTATTTATACTTCTATAAGATTTTAAAACTGTATGTTTTCGTTTAAGTCTTTTTCTAAGCGACAAACTTGTCACTCATGTTAATACAAATTCAACACAATATGTTTAAAGCTCCCAATTACATATAATACCATTCTATACGATGTTAATCGTGAGAATAGTGCAGATGCGATACGAAGATGCAATCTGGTTTGGGACATAATATGTCTAAACGTGATGGCGCAGTTCCATTCATTGATGTAATTGACACGTATAATATATTTTAATTATTACTTTATACCGTATACTCTATGTAAATCTTAAATAACCTGACATTTTTAAATATTCCACTAAGGGCTTGATGTATGGAAAAAGTATATATGTATGTATGTATATAAGATGTAATCACCAACTCAAAAATTGCCTCTTTTTAGGTGTTGTGTATACAATATTTAATATGAGCTAATAAACACATTTTCTCATTTACAATAAATATTAGTAAATAAATTAAAATGACTAATTGTGTCAAAAAAGTATCTAAAGAAGATTAAAAAAAATAACCAAAAAGCATTTTAGCGTTATTTTTAAATGTCCTTTTATTCACATTTCAAATTACGAGTCGAATTTCTTGTAACGTATGTATAATTAAGCTATTCGTCTGGTGGCGATAAAACTTCTGCTAGCAATATTTATAATACCAGTGATAAGCCCTCGTTTTGTTGAGTACATGCGTATGTAATATTTGTGTGTATAATATTATAGGTAGCACTACCAAAAAGGTATAAGCACATTTAAAAAAGGGTAAGGCAGTGCTAACGCGTTCGCTTGGGAAACATAGTTAAGCGGATTTAAATCCCGGGTTTCGCACCTCTGATATTTTCATGTGCGAATCATTTCCAACAAGATTGCCACTTGTCTTAAAGGTGAATAAAAATCCGTGAGAAAACCTGCATGTCTGAGAGAACCTAGCCAGTTTTCAAAAGACATATGAAGTCCGCCAATCCGCACTTAGACAGCGTGATCGACTACGGTCTGATTAACCTCGTATTGAAGGGAAGCCCGTGCCCTGCAATAGGACGTTAAAAAGGGCTGTATACAATACATACCTGCTACCTTTTAGCAAAATCAATACAAACAACACAACCCAAACAATTAATAAAATAATGAATGATTTTTTATCGAGATAGGTGATTAAAATATCTTTTTCATTAAATATGGATGGTCATATATAAATATCAAGTAAAAATTCATCCTCTAAACTTGAAATAATTTACATTTAAATTACTTTGAGATCAGAGTACCTTTTTAGTTAAAAAGTAATTACTTAATATCCACTCCGGGCATGTTATATAAAGGTTAGTACCACACTTGGTTTTTAGCTTATCGGCTTTTATATGTTTTACTAATATAAATAACTACTATGTGATTTAAATAACACTATGTTTTCGGATTTTTTTACGGATGTATTTGGATTTTTGGTTCCCGACGTTTCGTATGCTTTACAGCAATCATGGTCACGGGAGAGACTAAGGTGTTAGATGTCTCAAAGGTACTAAATAATAGTTGTTACAGACAGCCTACCCACAAATAACAAAATGAATTCAAAAAATTGAAAAATATATATAATATTATACAATATAACAAAATTAATTATTATATTATAGGTATATACTATAATAATTATTAATTAATTTTGGTTTTTAAATAATAGCATATGGCATAAATAATTAATATTTTATTTCTTTATGATGATAAATATAATAATGGCAACACTAAATATCAATTACTAATGGATAAAAATTTTTCTAAAAAAAATTAATAATTATAATATTATATAACAGCTAGAATTAAATAAATAATATTCCTTATTCAAATATAAAACTAATTAAAATTATGAAAATGCTTAAAATAAAAAAAAAATGTTGTAAGGTACTTTGGTGCCATTTGTCAATTTTTTGTCAAATATTCGCATAAATCTAAGAAAGTATTACTATGTGTTTGTTGATAAATATGAAATTACCGAATAGGTCCAAAAATTCGTTTAACAAATATAATAAATAGGGGATTTTTTTTTACTAACTTGGGTTATTAATAGATCAGTACTATTTATCGAGCTAATATAAATTTAAAGTGTGTATGTCTTTAATTAAATAAGCAAGATAAAACTTGCATGTTACCTCTCACATAGCAGCAAAATCAGGCAAAAAATTTCATTATAATATTTTGACTATAACGTCCTCTTAAATCCGGAATTTCATTAATGCGCAACCATCTCATTACATAAAGCTCAAAAGGCGCAACGTTTAACACACGCGTTCATATAATAATAGCTGCTTTTAAATTCTATAAATAATACAACTTTCATCTAAGGCTTCTATTCTCTTCCTTGTGTTTGTGACGGTTATTTACATACGCTTGTTCTAAGGCTCTATTTACCAAAATTAGAATTTGTGAGCTTCGAGCATTTCTGACTCGCTCATGATGAATACGCTAAGGAGTTTGAAGAAATTATTGTCATATAGTCTGGTTGTTTGCATTAGATTATGTAATACAGTAGTGTACTTCTATGAAGAAAGTATTTTAAATCAGTGATTACATATTCTTGTGGTTGTTATTAAATTCTTAGGAAATGGTTCTCAAGGAATCAAAAATCACTAAATACTTCAAACGATTTTTTTTCATAATAATTGTAATTATTAATTTATACATACTTTTTCAATAATAATTTCTAGATGAGATATTCATAATTTGTATGAAAATTTCATTTCCTTTGAAAGATATTTTTACCACGAACGGATATTAAGCTTCGGTAATATTTTGCATCTACTTCGAAGCTCATAAAATCTGTTGTGGATCCATTCCTTACGTTATAGCATTCTACAATGTCATTTTTATTGCATACAAACTAAAATATGTGTTATTAAAATAGCGGTATTTTTTTTTAGTTTTCTTTGTTACTTTGCCTGTTGCCATTATTCGCTTTGGTACAGGGGTTAAATTCGATATACTCGTATAATAGTGCTTTACTTAAACGGTATTATCTTTATAATACAACTAGCGTTTTCCCACGGCTTCACGCCCGCGTTATTTAATTTTGTAGACTTACTCCGCTTTCGTATGTAGTACAAGGTAGCATGTAATGTTCTTCAGTAAACAATCTATGAAACGCAAAAAGAATTTTTCAAATCGGCCAAGTAGAATAGACCCAGATATTTGGCAAAAACAAATAAATCAAAAAACTCTTCAGTTTTATATATTAGTAGAGTATAGATTAATATGTTCTATTTTTATTTTGCTTATAACACGTCACGAATCGTAGATAATTATAATTTAGTAAAATAAACAAACACACATTTTAAGCATTACTTACGCATCAATCTTTTTATCTATCTATCCATAAATAAAATTATAATTGAGAATATACCAAAAGAAATAGTTCTTCCATAAATGTTCAGACATTAAAGACATAAAAACTCTAAGCTTCAAGGAATTATACTTTGATAACTATATAACTTCATTAAGGGAAAATTTAAATCAAAAAATTGAAACGTATGAAACACACTTGGAAAACCAGGCAAACCCATACTATAATATTATAGCAAAGCTTTACAAATAACAAATGGCGATAAAAGCTTCCTGCTTTTATATAGCTTAGCTTCTTTTTACGAAACTCTAAGCATAGAATAAACTTCAATGAAAGTTGTGGCGCTCTCTAAGAATTACTATATTGCTAAGAGAAGATATTTCTCATACATTACTTATAGCTGTATCATTTGAAAAGCTCAAACAGCGGCTTTGAATAACTTTGTTATGCAACTCTATTGACAGCGCATTGTTATATTTTCTTTTGGTCGACCTTTTTACTAATATACTAGTTTGATGCTATAGCTTTGCTTATCTATATTTTGAAACGGTTTTATTTATCTTTAAGATTACTTAGTATTAAAGTGCATTTGTTCTTTTAATATAAAAATAGACAAGACAGTTTAGTACTTTGTCTCCTTTGTTTGTCAATCGATTTTCATTTTATTTTTGCTTAGTTAGTTATTAACGAGCTTTATTATTATCCATAAAAATAATTGGGGATAGTTTTGTTTTAAATAAATTCTTTCCATATGTATATGTCTAACTCAAATTTTCAATAACGATTATGGTCGAATTTCAACCACTACTTGAACACTAGTAACGTTAAATCTATACTAATATTATAAAGAGGTAAAGTTTATGAGTTTGTGAATGGTGAGTTTGTGAGTTTGTTAAGTTGTAGGGGGTAATCTCTTGATCTACTGTACCGATTTAGATGAAATTTGGTAAGAAGATAGTTTGATACCCTGAAAAGGACATAGAATACTTTTTATCCGGGTAATCATCACTTAAAGGAGTGAAAATGGGGATGAAAGTTTGTATAGGGAAACAAGCTAGGGACGAAGCCGAGCGAAACGAGGGTGATTCGCTAGTCTTTAAATATGACAATAGAATTTTTAAATATACATTTTTATACCAGCTGACCGACCCAACAGACTTTATTTCCCGGGAAACTTGTTATAACTTGTTATAAGATAATATGGACTTTTTTCTTTTACAGGGACAAATACAGAAACTTCAAATATTTTCAAACTCGTCTTATGAAGGACGATTTAGTGTTTGCGACAGTGTAAGTATTTAATTTAACTTTCATAAGTAAATTAATTTAAGTTTCTTGATAACTTTAATATGTAAATTAAATTATCATTTTTTTTCTGTAATTATTATAATATTACACAAATAATATTTTGATAAAAAGGTTTTATCTAGAAATCTACAAAAATCTAAACTGTAGTCTATAATTATATATACATATACATTTTACCTTACAGGGCTTAAAGCTTCCAGATAGTGTAAGTTATGTTTGCAAAAGTCCTTATAAGCTTTCAATGTTCCTGAACCGTGTTTCCTTATTATCTACTGAGACTATAATAATTAGGTGTTATTAGGTTCTATTTCTATTTATTATATTATTATTATATAAGTATATATACACTTGCATATAAGCTACTTGTTTAAGTATTACATATAATGCACTTTTTCCACAAAAACCAATTTTTTTTGGTTGATGTACTTTGGGCACTTTAGTGTAAATAACAATTATTTCTTTCCTAGATTGACGATAAAGAGGCCAGCGTCAGCGCCGTAAGTTTCTGTATATATGTACTAATATATAGAACTAAAATGTATATAGCATTTGATTATTTATTCATTTATTATATATTTATTATTCAAAGTTCTTTAGCTTTGTAAAAACTCTTGATTACTATAGTAATAGAAAATATTTTGTCACCTTTGTCAAACATTAATCAAGTGTATTTACTAAAGTTATTTATTATCACTGAAATCTCAAATAAGTATTGTAGTTAGCAATCGTTGTAGTCTTGTAGATAAAATAACCAACTACGTAGCTTACTCTAACCTAATATAATTAACCTTAACAAATTTTAGGAATATGCCAAACCAGAGAATCTTGAGAGGGTACGTTTAACAAATTCATTCACATTCTAGTAATATAACAATATAAATTAAAAATTTTAAAACCCCCCTACGCAAATTAATTGTCATTTAACGATTACACAGACACGCGTGAAGCACTTAATCGAGTAATCATACGCCAAAATGTCTTACATCATTTTGGAAAAGAGCTGATACTCTTACATTGCTGGACCGGATAGTAACAAAACATAGCTAAGAACCACCGCAAAGAAACTAGCTTTCAAATGAAAAAAACCGCATCGAAATCGGTCCATCCGTACACACATACACACAGACAGACATCGACGTTAAACTTATAACACCCCTCTTTTTGCGTCGGGGGTTAAAAAGTAAATAAATTAAAATGAAATATTTAAAATTTATATTAATAAATGTTTTATTTAATATAATTATTATTCATTAATATATTTAATGTTATACTGATACGATAGAAATTTGTGCATAAAGATTTTAGATCTCTTGATAATTACAGTTTACGAAATCACCCGACACTACCGAAGATGAACCGGATGACGATAGTGACACAGGTATGTCTATAATAAGTTAGGTTATCTACTTTGTATTATATTATGTATTCAAATTTTATTTTGAGGTTTAGTATATACATGTTATAAATATCACCTGTAGAAGTCTATTCGAGTAAAATATATTGTCACTTTATTATTAAACTAATGTTAATTAACATACTTTTACATCCCATATAAAAAAAAACTAAATCAAAACATGCTATTGACCAATTGTAATATAATAATCTGTTTTAAATAACTAAACTATCTTTTCGTATTTTTTTTTATTTTTCTTTTGTTTTGTTTTTTTGATTTCGGACTTATTTTGGTTTTTAGTTCCCGATGTTTCGAATGCTTTACAGCAATCATGATCACGGGAGAGACTGGCTGGCCCTGGCTCCATAGATTAGCTTGATAATATCAAATTATCAGATGTTGTTGTCCAAATTCCACATTCATATTTAATTTCAAATCGATACGATAATTAAAAATTCGTTATAGCCGACTTCAAGCTGACGAAAGCGTGAAAATCATGATTGTGCTAGATTACATTAAAATTCGTCGAGTACCTTTATGAATATCAACAGAATTTTTATACTGAAACCATGAATACCCCACCCCATAAAGCTATTACGACATTGCGGACAAATATTTCTATTTTATTTACGGATGTAAAATAAAAAAATGTGTTTTATGCATGTATCCAAACTAAATCGCAATGCAAAATTTCAAATATTTTGTCCATTTATTCAACTTAAAGTAAGATTAATAAGATCTATTTTATCTATACCTTAAAATCCTCTTATCTTTTGAAAGAAAATCTATACATATAATTAAAATTGTAACCAAATATATAAATAAATAAAATTGTAACCAAACCGAATCTGTACATTAAATATTTTTTGGAAAATCTTATTGAAATAAACATTATTGATGCAGAGGCCGAATCTACATATAGTTTTTTAGAATTTTTGTCTGTCTGTCTGTTACAGTATCACGAGAAAACCACTGGCCAGATTTTGATGAAATTTGGTATGATTATAACTGTTTATCTGGATCAATATATAGGATACTTTTTACTGCGGAAAAATATCTCATCTCTGAAAAATCCATACAATATGATCTGTGGTGTAATCAACGTTGAATATATAGAATAAAAGCGAGTACAAAAAATTCGAATACAACTTACAAACAATAAAAAAGGAATTTCTCATATAAGTTCATAATAATATTCTTCAGTATTGTATAGAACTAATTTATTTGTTTCTATGTAGTAAGAAATAATCTTTAAAACTACTAATCTATTTGCTACAGCACTAATATGTATATAATTGATGGTTGAAAGTCTTAAAAGTGATCAATAATAAAGACATTTTTCTTATTATTTTCTTAAGAATATTTATTAATTTACAGATATGCTTGAATATAGTACAGAAAAACTTGACAAATGGGATAAAGGAGAGAAAGGGGATAAAGGTGATAGGGGAGACCGCGGTGAAAAGGTATATATAATTTATTTTATTATTATTATTAAAGTTTCATCATAATTTGTTTTATAGTTTTTGCGTGAAAGAGAAACAAGCATTCATCCATTCTCACAAAATATCTCAAAACCTTCGCGTTTATAGTTTTCGTAGGATTAAAATCCATACTGGTTATGTAAAAATGTGTAGCTCATCTTGAACGTTTTTACTATGATTATTTCTTCGGCTGAAATTTTTGGTGATAAATACTCATTTTTCATCGATATGGGTAAAAAATTTCTTTGGTGTCGTGAGCCAATAATTACTACACTAAGGAAAATAATGTGTAAACGTATCACCGGATTCATAACGCCTCTTTTTGAAGTCGGTCAAAAATTAAAAAAAAAATTGATTTTCAAGTAATATGTAGATTAAATATTTTAGATATTTTAATTGTATATATATATATATATATATATATATATATATATATATATCATCATACTACCGACTTATCCTCGCTGCGCTCGGGTTCGTCCTTAGTGAAAAACAAAAATAAAACTATCTCAGTCGAACCGTATATTCTTCCGGGTAAAAAAATAGCATGTGCTATTCCAGACTATAATTTATTTGTATTCAGAATTTCATTCAGATCCATTTAGCCGTTCTGGCGTGATTGAGTAACAAACATTCATTCAAACTTTCGCATTTATAACATAGTATAACAGGCTTGAACTAAATTATATAATATAATTACAGGGAGACAAAGGAGAAGGCACAATTGGCAGTATAGGACCACAAGGTCCAATAGGTCCAGGAGGTCACCAAGGGCCGCCTGGAGAGAAAGGTGCTGAAGGGGTAGGCTGAATTCGATAACGATTTTTTTTCTAAATTTTGAATACCTACCATGTAATATTTTAGTTAGTTTTTAATAAAATAATAGTTTTCCTTTATATGAATATGTTGGTGTAATATGATATAATTGGCAAGTATTCACTATTTCTTAATACAATGCAATGGCACTAACTATTATATTGTACTCATATATAATTACTATTCTACTCATTTACGAATCATATATGTACATACACGTATTTAGAAATATTAGAACTTTTCTTGATTGTACAGATGATAACTGTTTTATCTATTTATTTACAGGCATGTCAATGCTCAGAATTAGTGGTAACAAAATTGTTATCCACTATGCCAGAAATGAGAGGTCCTCCTGGTGAACCAGGACCTCAAGGTGAAGATGGAGCACAAGGCATGCCTGGCTTAACTGTAAGTTTTGTAAAACTATGCTTAGATTAACGATTATTTGATATTTGTTGTATCATTGTACATTTTTTTAAATGGATATTTCCAAGGGTCTCCAAGGAATACAAGGGGAGATGGGCCCAAGAGGGTTTGATGGTGAAAAAGGTAAACCTGGTGATAATGGTTTACCTGGAAAAGACGGCGAAAGAGGATCTAAAGGTGAACCTGGAAGAAATGGAGACCCAGGGCCTCCAGGACCTGAAGGGCCTATGGGACCCCCTGGTCCACCAGGAGAAGCATATAAGGTGATTTTTTCATTGCATTACATCTTTTAGTAATATAGCTTATTAAAATTTGCTTTTCTAAAGAGAGATAATTATTTATAAAAGTCACTGTATAGTGTCATCCTAAATGTGTATCGTAATTGACATTTTTTTAAGAAACAAATAGTGTCAGAGGTTATGTTGACAGGAAATAGAAGAGGCAAAAATGCCAATTGCTGGTGAAAAAGGTGACATAGGACCAATTGGGCCTCCAGGTTCCCCAGGACCTAAGGGTATTCAAGGGTCTAAAGGTGAAAAAGGAGAGGAAGGCTTAAAAGGCGACAAGGGTGAACAAGTTATCATACGAGATAAAGTAAACATAATTCACATTATTTAAGGGTCGTGTTGATTTAAACTATTATATAATCATTTTAATGCAAATTTATAGGGTCTTGATGGTAAACCTGGCCCACCTGGAAAACCAGGAGAGACAGGGCAAAATGGCATACCTGGACAACCGGGTACCCATGGTCGGCATGGAGAAAAGGGAGAAAAAGGTATGATATTTTAAATATAATAAGAGGAGGAGCCTTATTAATAGTATAAGCGAAGTAACAAAAAAGTGTTTTCAATGTACATACATTTGTACATATATTTCGATATTATTGGTTTTCTAATTTCTTTGATTACAGGCGACAAAGGTGATAAAGGAGAACAAGGTCTACCAGGCATAACTGCAAAGCTATCAGATATACTATACGACGATATGGATCCTATTGAAAGTATGTAAATTTTGTCATAATCTAACAAGTAATCTCATATTTTTAAATGGCTTACTTTAGTATTTCAACATATTCACAGAGGAAGCTGTAATAGAAAAATTAAGAGGTTACAAAGGTGACAAAGGAGAAAGTGGTCACAAGGTAATTAAGGCATTACATTAAAAAAGATATTATTTTTACAAAAAAAAAATAGATAAGATTTTTTTATTTATATTAAAGGGTGATATAGGAGATACAGGAGATAGAGGTCCTAAGGGTTCTGCAGGAAATGATGGACTTCAAGGTCCACCGGGAGAAAAAGGAGCTCATGGCCATAAAGGAGATCCTGGTCCCGAAGGGCCTAAAGGTCTAAGGGGAAACACAGGAGAACCAGGTCCACCTGGAAACGTGCCAACATCTGCTATAAGTTTAATGAAGGTAATCATAACTTTTAGGTCTACTATGTACATAGATGTGCCTCTGGCAAAAAGAAGTGGACTCTTACGAAGAAAACACTTCACATGCTTAAAGTCTTATATATATACTTATTTTTAGAACCTATAATGACATTTCTAGAATTCAAATTGTTAAATTAAAAATAAAAATCATCCGCAATAGCATCTATGTCACTATTTATACATAATATTATATTCTCTTTCAAATATGCAAAACAAAATAGCAATTATGTTTTATAGTTTTATATATTTCTTCGAAGGGTCCAAAAGGAGATCAAGGAGAAATAGGTAAAACAGGACCACGTGGTCCAAACGGTCATCCTGGAAAAAAAGGCCCAGCTGGGCCTCGTGGTTATAAAGGGGCCAAAGGTGAACCAGGCGAGACTGGACATAAGGTAAATATAAAACATAAAAATTAATAAAAATTAAGGGTTAAAAAAAGAATAATATAAGGGTTTTCTGAATATTTTATGGAAATAATGAGAAATAATTTATTTAGCCTCCACCATATGCTTATCATATCCTTTTTAACTGTCGGGCATGAGTTTTCCTCGCGTCGAAAATTGCGAGCGAGATCAGGCCACCATTCTGACTCAGTGCGAATAGGCGGACTTGATATGTCAAAACTAGTGACATTTTCTCAGACATGCAGATTTCCTCACGATTTTTTTCTTCACTGTAAGGCAAATGGTATTAATTTTAAAAATAATTCGCATATGAAAATATCACAGGTGTGAGACACGGGATTTAAACCTGCTTCTCTCGCTTTCCCAAGCGAGTTCTAAAAGCCCAGTGGTAACGCGTTAACACTGCCTTTTAGATAGATGATTCCAAGTGGAGAGAAGAATTATGTATATAGATATTTCTAAAGTCGTACCTTCCCCGATAACTTGGTTTCTTAAAGTAATACTATAAAAGACAAACTCATTTATGTCGTCAATAGAATGAACATAATATTATATGAAACAGATAAATTACTTTTAACGTAACAAATTTGTATATTAAAAAAAGCTTTAATATAATGTTGTACATATAAAATTGATAAATGATTAGGTTTATTTACCCACAATTTAGGTAAATGCTAAAATATTATTATTATATTAAGAGTTTAATAATAATCATTATTTTACATGATAAAGGGTGCCACGGGATATAAGGGCGAAGTAGGTCCAGTGGGACCTAAGGGAGAGAAGGGCGAAACTCCACTTGTTGATACTGCAAAGGTATTGTTAAAATTTCCTTTAATCTTTACTTAGTAGTTAATATTTTGACTTTTCTTTTTAATGTACAAATAACTTGAAATTTTTATTATTGGTTCACAGCTCAAAGGTGACAAGGGAGAGCGGGGTGAAACTGGTAAATCTGGACAGGATGGCAAACCTGGGAAACCCGGAACTTGTGAAGAGTCCAATTTCCTAACTGTTACTGGTCCACCTGGCCCCCCTGGTCCACCTGGCCCATCTGGTCCACCTGGTCCACCTGGATCACCGGGTATATCCATAACAGGTCCAAAAGGGGAACCCGGAGGAATAATATCTAAAAGCACATTATATGCTTTTAATGATGTAAATAATGATTCAAGTAAGATTTTTTATTAAAATAATACTATAATTTAAAATGTTGTAAAACTGCTAAAAAGATTTCTCTCTATAATATTATTTTTGCTAATATATAATTTTTATACATAATATATACTATGATATCTACACTATATGTACATATATGACACAGCAACACGAAACAGCATTGAACATAATATCTTATGTTATTTTGTAGATACCTCTAACGAAGACGATGATTTCTATACTGCGGCAACAGTTATATATAAAACGAGTACTGCCCTATTTAAGGTAAAATATTTAAAAACTAATAAATTAAACTAATCCTTAACATAAACATTTTCCTTGATGCAATCTCTAACGAAGATAGAAAACAAAAAAAAATATAACAATATAGAAATGACATCGTCCTCTATGTTACTTAATGCTTAGGTCATATTTTCACAGATTTTTTAGGTTTTTATCAACAGTAACGCTAGTTGATTTCATTAAATAATTAATTTATTATTAAATATGTAATGAATCAATTATAAATTAATTCTCTAATAAAATAAAAAATATATAGACGTTTTATTAAAATTCCAGAGAACTTCGATAACACCATTAGGAACATTAGCTTATATTTTGCAAGAAAAAATATTATTGCTAAAAGTTGAAAATGGATGGCAATACGTTTTGGTAAGCATTGATTAAAAAAATATAATATGGTTAAAAAAATATTATCAATAAATAAATTGATACAACAATAAAAATTGATGTTTCTTATTATTACCTACTCTTTGTTTTTTTTTTAAGATGGGCTCTTTCTTACAAACAAGAGATTCACATACAAGCACATCATCACCCAAGTTCCATAGAACGACTGAACCCACAAATCCTACTGAAGGTGTAAAATCATCAGATAATTACGTAAGTATACATACATACATATTTACAATTGGAACCCTCGCTTCCCCCAGATTCGTCTCTAGGTATCTTTATTTTTACAAAATTATATTTAACTACTAACAGTAGCCTATTTTCTACTCTAGCTATAGTCTGTGTGCAATCCAGTAATACTGTGAAGGAGTAAAAACACTCACACACAAGTCACACACACACACACGCGCGTGCTCTACTGCAAACACGCGCACGCACACACACGCACATGAACATGCATACATGCACACACGCGCGCGCACACACATTCACACACAAAATTTTCTCATCCGCATCACACAAAAAAATGGAAACATACATAGGTATATTGAAAAAAAACGATGTTTTTGTATCATACAAAAATGGCAACTATAGACGCACTTAAGTGAAGCGAGGTTAAGTCTAAAAAACAATATAGCTAAGATCAATTGAATGAAACATCCAAAAATGCAGTATGAGTTGTAAATAAAATAGTAACACGCATGCGGACAAAACCATAGTCTTTAGCTAGTGTTAATAAATCTTTATTCGAACTCATAGAGCTTGAAATTTTAATAGTTCAATCGCAGGATATATTTTATCGAATGAACTTTTTATTATTATTGATTTGATTGGTGTTGATATAAACCAATCTATCTTAATCTATTTTATAAACCACGTTGTTTTTTAAATAGATTGCTTGAATATTTATAGAATTTTAGTAGTGGACTTGCAAATAAGTTTATTCTTTGCAAATCCACTTAAACTTTTGTTCCTCACTTTTTTATAAGTCAGGTTATAATACTGTACGTACTATAATGTTATTTTGGTACATATCCAGTTATAAGTGCTATATAATATTGTAAATTTAAATATATAAATTATTTTACTATTCTTTCAGGCATATTTGTATATTCCACGATATCTTCGCCAATTCTGAACATATTTTTAAAATTCTTTTTTAATTAATAGATAATATATAAAGTTCGGGTAAATTCCACCCCTCAGGCTTATAATATAACCTACCTTAAAATGCCTTTAAAATAATTTTAAAATCGGTTTACTTTTATAGTAAAAAAGGAATTACTTCAATATTGGCACCTTTTTTAACACATTTTCACTGAGCACATTCCTTCCTTCAATATAAGGGGCATCAGACCATAGTCCACCACGATGGCTAAGTGCGGGTTGGATAGATTCTAGGTGATAGGTTCCCCCACATGCAGGTTTCCTTACAATGTTTTTATTCACTGTAAGACAAGTGGTAATCATGTTGGAAAATGATTCGCATATGAAAATATCAAAAGTGTGAGACCCGGGATTTGAACCCGCGTCTCTTCTCAAGCAGGTGCGCTATCACTGTGCTACCACTACTTATGACTATTAAAATATTATCCAATGCGAACTATTTTACGTACCGAAATTAGAGGCTCAGAATGTCACAATCGATTGCATTACAAGTTTTAAAGCATCGAGAGATAGAACGCATTTATTTTATAAATTATGAATTAAAACTCACTTTCACACTTATAATATTAGTTAGAATTTTCAATATAAGTTATTCATAAAATGTGGTAGCACACTATTTAGGAATTTCCATGTTTACGCTATATGAAGAATTCATAATATTTTGTGGTGAATGAATAATTGTGACTAAAATATCGATGCGTTTAGTACTGCATATAATAATTATTATAATTTTAGATTTAGATTAATTTATTGTTAATTTGCATTAAAATGAATAATTGTCCCTATTTCTAATATAAATAAATATAAATATGTTGGAACATTAACACACAACACCATCTAGTTCCATAGTAAGCTACGAGGCTTGTTTTATGGATATCATATACATAGTGGATACACTACCCTTAAATAACTTTAAATACATACATACTCGTACTATAAATATTTATGTATAATAAATAGAACAATAAAAAAATGTTTGTCTGTCTGTATGTGATAATATTTCCAGAAAAACTATGTCCTTTAACAGGTTTTGCACTTGCATAATATATGGGTAAAGTGAGAGAAGTAGACTTTTTACTTGTAAAAAATAATAATAATAAATATTATAAAAAACGTAATTGTAGCGCTTTGATGCATATACTATGTACATATTATTATGTACATTATACATATCTACTAGTAACGCTTACAAGCAAATGGCGATAATCTTAATATCCACTCGATACTACCACTTGTATTGATCATACAAATCCTTACCTCATTTTATACAGAATAGTGTATGTGAAGCGAATAAATGGCAGTATCATTATTCAAAAGTGCTTATAATAAGTCTATTTGAATAAAATTTCATTTCATATCACTGTTGTATTCTAAGTAACTTTTTATGCCACTCGAATTGTCACCACTTATAACAAAATACATATACTCTAATATGGCATAGATATATTTTATAGATTGATATGTGAAAGACTGACAAAACATCAAAGGAACAAACGCACTCTTGCATAAATAATATTGTTTTTTTTAATGATTATGTAGGCATAAGCAGTAGTAGCCCAGTGGTAGCTCGCTTGGTTAACCAAGTGATGCGGGTTCAAATCTCGGGTCTCGAACCCCTGATATTTTTATGAACAAATCATTTTCAACATGATAACCATTCCCTAAAGGTGGAGGAAACATTGTGAGAAAACGTGCATGTCTGAGAAAACCTAACTAATTTTCGAAAAACGAGAATTCCGCCCGCACTTGGCCAGCGTGGTGGACTGTTGCCTGAACCCCCTTCTAATTTTTAATACGAGGAAGGCCCGTGCTTTTTTGATGTCTTTATTTATTTTGCTGTTGAATCCCGTTCAAGTTAAATATTGTTAACTACAGATATTATTTCTTTATAATATCTTAATCGTTTTCTCTTCTATTTTCTCTCAAGTTTCATATTTTTATTTGTCACCTTTCAGTATACATATAAGTAAATAGTAAGATTAGAGTTTCTTACAACAAACCATAACGTCCTTGGTCCTTATAGTCCCTAAAACCTAATCTTCTTGTGTTTCGCCGCTTGAATTACAGCAAAATTTCATGAGAAAATAATGTATCATATTTTCTAACAAAATAAATATAAAATGTTACCAACCTTAGCAAATAAGACTTAACTTATACTAGCTTATACAAGTTACGTGTGTAAATTTTCCATTTTTATTAAAGCCCTAGAGTCCCAAACTACTTACGCTACAAATAGTAACTTTATCTGTTTGAATTTTGGGACGAAATGAAAATATTAATTCGTAGTTTGGAACGTGTTCGAGTGACTTTTGTAAGTAAATTTAATATGTAAATTGTAGAAACTTTTCTATCATCAGTTGGGTCGTTCCCATTCTTTTGGGGTAGAAAAATAAATCTTATTATACCTATCCTATATAACCAGCAACTTCTTGCCAACTTCAATATTCCAACTACGTTTCATTATGTCACAATAATAAAACTAAATGGCAATTAATATATTAAGTAAAAAAAAAAGTTATTTTCTATACATGTAAATAACATGTCATTATTATTTATTATACATAAAAATTATTAAGGGTATATACATACATATGTACATATTAATATTATAAATGTGAAAGTGTGTTTGTTTGTTTGTCCTTCTTTCACGTCGAGAAGGATTGACGGAATGGTGTGACTTTTTTGTGTGGAGATAGTTGGAGGGTTGGAGAGTGACATGGGCTACTTTTTACCGAGGGAGATTATCTCGATCTCACGGGAAAATACGTAAACACAACCTAAAAAAATAATTATGATCAGAATTACTTCAAACTTGGTATTAATGCTCTTCAATACAATTAAATAAATATGTTTAATAGCATTTTTCGAAATTCATCCAATAAGGAGGTAAAAACTGGGATGAAAGTATGCACGAAACCTTCCTTCTTAAACTATTTTTTGTAGTTTTAGCGCGAGCAAACCCGGGGTCTGCTAATTGATTATAATAAGAATTATTGCTTAGTACCATACCAGTGCATCACTATTTTTGTTGACTGTACTACCTCACTTAAATTTGCAATTACTGTAAATTTCTCTTTATATTGACGCGCATGGAAAGCTTAGGTCTGGCTATCTTTAGATCTAGATGATCGATTTGTACGAAAAATAACTATGTTTATGTTTATAATATAGGCTATTTCCTCTACGATTTTTCACGATTTTCTACAATTCTACGTCACATTGGCGAAGTAATCTGTGCTCTACTGGCACTATACCCTCAAACAAAGAATTTTCAAAAAATATTATAGTACATGAAAATTATGTGTTTGTACTATATAGATTCCATAATGAGCTATTTTTTTCAGATTCGCTTAGTGGCATTGAATGAACCATATCCAGGGAATATGCTGACTACTACAAATAGAACTGGGCGAAGCGCGGCAGAGCAAGAGTGTTACAAACAAGCACAAAAGTTCCACAAGAGAAGCACTTTTGTTCCTTTTATATCAAACAAGTATAGTATTTTTATTCTTTACACAATTTTTAATGTGAATTTTAGTAACTTATGATTTTCTTTTATACTTTATTCATTATTGTATTTTGTACTATTTTAAATAAAATTGTTGCAAGATATGCTGATAGTTGATAGGAATATTATAAAAAGTAAAGAAAATTTTAACTTGTCAATATAAAACACATTTCAGAACCAATTATATAACCTATACATACGTTTAATGTACACTACTTTGATATTAGCGTCTTACCCTCGTTTTGTTAACGTGCGAGGTTTGAATGCCCAAGAATAAGTCTATCTGCCTCTAAACTCCGAGTCATTGTATGTACGAAATTTCATCCAAATCTGTTCAGCCGTTTTAGAGTGAAGGATTAACAAACAAACACACATACAAACTTTTATATTTATAATACTAGTCCGATTCATACCCGTTGTAAATACTAAAGTTATACTTAAAATTTTGCTATTCTCACTTTTCAAATCCTCTTAGACCTATGCGGGTTTCAGTAATACTGTTCTATTTACTTTGCTCATGCGAGTCCATTAAAATAAATTATTTGGTAATATTTTACGTTTAGTTCTTCTACACTAAACAAATATTTCTACTGAATACAGTTCCCGGATTCGTTAACATGTTATTTCTGTTATTATTTTAAATTTGTTTCCCCTGGAAAATTTCAATTTAATTTTCACACAGCACAAATATTGCGAACGTATTTTTATAGTAAACATTAAAGTGTCTAGTTTGCTTAACTTTTGTAACTAGCGCAGCGTTTTATTTGAATCGTAATTTCAGTAAAATAATCAAGCTGTTTTTAGTCTGACTAAGAGTTTTTAACAAATTATTCTTCAGGTCAACCAACGTCTCTTTGTCGACCTTTTCTAGGTGTACCATATTTAGTTGGATATCCTTGGTATGTTTTAAGAACTTCTTAAGTATTAAAGAGAAATTGAGTTTTAAACTCAGTTGTTATTGGTTAAAACTTCAAAATTTTCTATTGAAATATATATATAAATATACATATATATTATATTAATTTAATAATTATTTTTGCTAAATATCACGGGATTAGTGTTAATGAGATGATCCATCATAGTGGAGCTTGGCAGGAGATTGACTATTTCGTATTACGGCTCTCGCTTGCGTAAAGGTCCTGTATTGATTATATTATTGACCATTCTGGTAGCAATAATGATGAGACAGTTACGAATTCTGCTAAAATAGTGTATTAAAGAAGTGCTCGATTGTGAATATCATTGAAAGCTATAAAAACACGGAGAGTAGAAATTCGCAAAATTAAAAAATCAGAAGTTTATTCTATTTCGCATTAGATACCCTGATTTATTATAAGTATTATATTTATTTAATTATAAATGATATATTTAATTAAAAATCGATTTTTTTCAGTGTTGTAGACTTAATATCAATAGTGAAGTCAATACAAGATAGACATGTGCCGGTAGTCAATTTGTATGGATCGGTGCTATTCGATTCGTGGTCGAGCATGTTCAATGGTTCTGGTGCTCCGCTACTGTCCACTACAAGTATTTACAGCTTCAACGGCAAGAATGTGTTTATTGATCCAACTTGGTAAGTTATTTTAATTAGATACAAAATATATCATAATTCTAAATAATTACACCTCAAGGATGAAGTGGAGACAGCAGACAGACGACGAAAAATATTAGCTCTGTCATTCTCTGAATCAAGTGAAATGGGCTCTAATTTCAAATCTATAATACCACTGAAAATGTTTTGCATGTAAATCGTTTTAATATATACATAAAAGTATACCTACTATTTATTAGCACCCAACGGAAGATCAATACCTACAAGTCAACATATTACTAGTGATATATATTTTTATATTCTAGGCCAACTAAAGCATTATGGCATGGAAGTACTTCATTTGGTATTCGTGCTAAGAGGGCATCCTGTGAGGAGTGGCAGAGTGACAGCTCTCTGAGCCACGGCGCTGCGTCAACACTTTACAGTAATAGACTGTTGGAACAAGAACAGTGAGCAATCTTTATATAATATTTAATAGGAATTTCGTATTGAAAGTTAGAACAATTTCCAGAAAGTTTTTCTTTCATCACAAGAATATTTTACAAATTGCGTGAACAAGGTGTGCACGGGAATCACAATATGTGTGATTCATGTACGTAAATACAACAAAATATCTATATTGTAAGCTTTCATTTCTCATTATGATTAATTATTATGAGAGTTATATAAAAATTTTGCGTATCCTGCGATCTGTATATTTATCATTTGACTGGAAGTTATGAACTTAGGGCATGTGCGTAACTGATTTTATCCATTCCACGTGATATTAACGAAGTAATCTGTGGTCAACTGGTACGCTTTGAAGCCATTAATAAGAAAAATGTATCGAATTGAACAAATTCTATTGTGTTCAGAAGTGAACAAAAATAAATATATTTGAAAAAATTAATACTTAATAATATTTTTACCAATATAAAGATTTTTATACTTTATAATTGTATAGCTTCGTAAGCAACAAACTCATAAAGTGAAATTGGCAAATTAGTACCAAATTCCCGTTTATCAAAGACGTGTTAATATAAAGTGATGTCGGATTATTGATCGCCGTTAGCGTTAAACATTTATCGAGTCGAGCCCACTCATCCTCTTTAATCTACTTAACGTAATTAGAACTAAATAAGCTTCTAAACATTATTTACTGCATGAAGAGATTCAACTCAATTTTAAGTAAAGCTCAGTAATATTTGAAAACCGTTTGGCGTAGTCTTGATATCAACAAATTATATAGGTTTTATCAAACTCTACGCAGGAGATCACAGATTCGAATCCCATTCACTTTTTTAACAAAATATATTAATGATATAAACTGGTGTAATTAATATTGTATAATACAACCTTAAATTCACTTTACAATAAAATTTTACATAAAAGTATCTTATTTGACGACAGTGAGAATGGAATGATTTTTGGAAAATGAACCCCTAAAGAAGTTTAATAGCGAAACTTTGCATGGACGTTAGTTATTTTAAAGTTAGTAATATGGAAATGGGTGTTTATTTTAAGCTCTGTTCCGGGCACACGGTTAGAGTAACTATACAAATAAACATATGACTAGACCTTAATAGTAAGGCCTAGTCATATGTCAATTGTGTCTTAGACATCTATAAATTATTTAAACAATTATTATTTTGCCAACTACCAACTTAGTCTGCGCATCCGGAGGTCCTGGGTTTGAGTCCCGGTTTGGACCAAGTTTAGTTATTGAGTCTTTCTGTTTCGTAAGTCTTAGTAACAACCCGGAGTTGGGAAGTTAGCGGTGTTTCACCTCCATGCCTCGGAGAGCACGTAAAGCCGTCGGTCCTGCGCCTTAAACGTTCAGGAGGACTTATATATGTTACTTAATTTTATCATAATCCATTCAGCCCTTTCATCGTGAAGGATTAACAAACATACACAAATACAAATTAATAACATTCCGATAACATAATTCGTAACAATCATAGTTCGTGATTATAATTAATGATATATATTAATAGATAAATTCCCAACATGTTTCAACGAGGCTTAATATCCTAGTTTTAACGGTTTACCCTTGTCCATCCATGTCTTCTGTATGGAAAACAAAAGCTGTTTAAATTAATGGCTTGTTCGAGTTAAATGTTTGAACGTTATTTTGAGAGAAATGCCGTTTTAATTACTAGTCTCCACGATATATTATTATAATAGCTTAAGTATTCAACGTCTTATTATTTTCACATTTACTCATTTGTATATTTTCTAAAAAAAATATTTATAACTAGCGACTCACTCTCGCTTGAGTTCGTGCCTAGATATGTTTAAACGGTTAGTATGGAATAGACTGAGAGATATTATATATTATATATGTACATATGTATGATGAGTTTTATATCTCTTATCGATTCCCCATACAAACTTCCACCACTTTTAATATTAGATTTTATTTGCCCGAATTCCAAGATAAGAAGGTACTCATTTGCTATCTATATGATATATTCGATAAATTCGCATAATATTATAAATCGATTTTAGTGATCTTCATATAAATAAGCTATTAAGATGGTCGAATTTAAAAAACCAAGAAAATTTATACAGGCAGATAATTTTTTTGAAAATTTTTAGATGATATAAAGTCTCTATAACTTTATAATTAAAAAGAAATTACTTTTATAACACGCCTTTGTATATAAATTTTACGGAAAATACACTTTTAGGAGATGAAACCCAAGGCTAGCGTAATAAACAATGGCAGTGACACATATCAATGCCACTATGCTATCAAAGTTGTAAGAAAAATGATACAAACAATATATTATACAGATAAATAAAATTAAAGTGTCTGTTTGTAATGTCGACATAAAATCTTTTAAATTTTTTATATAATTTCGGTACTTATAAGTAAAATACATTTTTCAATTTTTTTGCAGTCTGTTTGTTTCTTTCGTCTAATCTATGAAACGACTGGACTGATTTTGATGGGAATTTCACAGGAAGATAGATGATATTATGAGGAGTAACTAAGTCTTCTTTTATTGTAGAAAAAGAATTAGGGTTCAGCTCAAAAAAATTAAAACGTACCTATGGACGCATCCGAGCAAAACGGGGTAGTCGCTAGTAATATAATAATATCCAATAAACATGCTACAAAATCTATTTTCTTTAGAATTTGGTTTTCATATCAGTTAACACCAATAAAATTGTTTTCAGGTATTCCTGTGATAATAAACTCATAGTCCTATGTGTGGAGACCACATCTAATGCACGTAGAAAATTAAGACACCCCCATCCCAAGTAAGCTCTAATTCTTTTTATATTTTTTAAATTATTTTCTTAGAATTTTATCAACAAAACAATATGCAAAAGTTAACAAGAAAGAGAGAAAGAGAGAAAGAGAAACAGAATATAATATCTTAAACTTTCTATTGGAACGAAATTCCTTTTGCATTTCATACTCAGTACAGTTGGTCAATTAGAGCTATTCGTAGAACGAAAAAAGTGTAATATGTCGACCGTCATGATAATTTTTATTATTTATACATGGGGTCCATGTGACATCGTCAAAAGTACTAGGCAATCATAAGTGTTAAGATGGTCCTACATATAAAGGACATGCCCCATGAAAATTTAATCACCAATTATAATCACCAGATATTATGAGTTAAGTGCAGACCTTAAAGTGAAGTCATCATGAGTACCAGGCGATTATAAGTGTTGAAAAATGTATGTATAAACATGTACAATGTATGTTGCTTGGTGGTTATGATACCCTAGTTCTCGTGACAATTTTTATGCCCTAATTTATAAGCCAAGGGCAGACATCGAAAGAAACTTCTTTCCTATATATTTTAATTTTATTTTACTATACTTTTGTTGTTTTAATATTTAGCATATATATATATAATATATATATATATTATATATATGAATATTATTATTAAATTTTAAGTATTTATTAAACACAAATTTCGTAATATTTAACATTTTTTCATATTCCAGATCGCGGAAGAGGCCAAATGATCACAATATTGAAACATTCGACAATCGAATACAACCAGGCTTATAATATTCTAAGTCATGCTCTAATTATTAAGGATTTTTTGTTGACTTGAACCTTCATTTTAACTGGTTACATAATAAATATATATATCTTAATAAAGTGTGAATACGCCAATAATATTTAATGAAACAAGTAATGCTTTAAAAATAGTTAAATTGAAACAATCAAAAGAAATTGAATAAAATATTGTGTATATTTCAACTCCAGTGTACAGAACTTGTCATTGAAAATAATTAGTTTCCTCAGTTGAAAAATATTTTTGAAATGCTAGATCATATTTCTCGCTCGCTTTATCTGTGAGCATTAACACGATGTTGGTTTATATTAAAACGTTTGATGTAATAATGTATATAAGTATATATTTTAATCTCAGAATTCCATAAACTATCTAAGTTATACAAAAAAACAGCCAAGCACGAGTCGAGTTTTGACATTTATTTTATATTGGTAACATAACACACTATATTTCTGTTACCTAATCAATACTTTGTTAGTATTATTACGATGAAGAAGTTATGTTTTTTTTTGTTTAAATGCGATTTGGAACTATCTGTCAACAACTTTTTGCATTTTATAGCCTATTGAAGAAGGTTAGTAAGCATTATTATCACCTTTAGGTGAGGAACTATATATAAATGAATTTCGCGAGGAGAGCCGTGGGCAAAAGCTTGTTGCCAATAAAGTAGTATTTGGGTATTGTAAAGTTGCACCTTGTATTTAAGGGAGGCCCACACCCAGTAGTGGGACGTTAAAAAACGCTAAAATCATACATACATTCTAAATTGAATGCGTTTTGCGTTGAATTGCGTTGAAGATTAATTGATAAAAATTCAATAAGTGAAAATAAAAGGAAAAACGGATCATTATTTTTTATGTAGATTTTTTGCAGTATTTTAAAATTTCGTTTACATACTGTGAAAATTATTCGATTGTTTCTAACTATATTGGTGCTATCTTTGTTATCTGCCAGTTCGAATGAAGTCTAATTATAAAATATTCTAGTTGTTTGAAGTATAGTATTATAACTGTAAGTTTTATTAGGAATTTTATTTTACAATGAGGAGATAAATTATTGTAAGAAGAATATATACCTAAATTCAATAAAATATAATTAAAGACGCTTACTAAGTTTATTTTTCGCACTATACTCATAAGCGCTTTTGATTTTTTAATACTTTGCTAATCGATTATGAAAATGTAAAGTAAAATATTGCGTAACGTCCTATATATCTACCTCGTTGAATAAATAACACGAATCTATCAGAAATAAAATAAATAAGCAAAATGGAGCAATTCTTGATATTTTTATTCTATTTTTGCATTTTTAAATATACCTAAATACATATATATTTTTACACGACATTATTTTTTTTTTAATTTTATGTTTAAGTATACTCAAAGTTGTTACTCAATATTTATTACATTTGTTGTGTTCTTCATGCTCATAAGTTTTAGCTAGACCTTTGTGAAGTAGCTATAATATCTAAGTCAGTCTAATTATCAAGAAATAGAAAAAAAATATGACCAGATTTCATTAATTTTCTTATAGTTAATGTTAAGAAAACCTAAACATGTCGTTTTTTTAGATATATTTCTTTATGTTATATTATAAGGCAATTTGTTTTAACAAAACCATCTTCAATATTATTTTATATTCAGTACAGTGCAGTAGTTTACAAAAAAATAGGTGCCATAATGATTTTTTGTACGATTTAAATTAAAAATTTGAACTAAATCACTGACTTTTATTTACTTAACAAATAGAAAATTATAAAACTATAAAAACCTGTACTTTCAGTACTACATAAGTCGTATTTGATGTGTCTATAAAAAGTTAGCTTATATGGACTTATAGCTCGTCTATACTTTTTTTAATGTTAGAAAAAGCATCTACACTTACCACCTGCATTTATATGCAGGTGGTTATGTGGGACTCATCGGCTAGAAAAGCCAGTACTACCCCCTAAAACCCAAAGGAACTTATCTTAATTCGTTATCGCCTCCACGACACCCTGACTTTTGGTCTACCGAGCTAGAGTACAATAACCAGGGGGTCACACTCTGTACACCATCCACTGAGGAAGGCCACCTCCCAAACCCCACCCACCTCGTTTCTTGGTTTTACTCTAGACTAATGAGCCGCCCAAAGGCAAACACACATCAGAGGGAGCTCATCTATACTTAGTATATCTGACTTATTATAATTAATCTTACTTATAACATTTTATAATATAATATCCTCTTTTCCTATATATAAGTTATCCCCTTTTCCGAATTTTACTCGTATCAGTTTCGTCGTTTCAGCACAAAGAGACTTTCACAAACTTTTGTTTTAATAATAATATTTAAAATTGATGTGGACATGAATTGATTAAATTTAAATTAACATTTACACAAATATTAATTCTTCATCTTCATTCTTGATGATAAAATGTAAATAAAAGGTATTTAATTGTTTCTTAAGGATTTTCTTTCGATAAACTCTTGTATGTACTTAGAGCAGAGAAGGTACGTGTAAAACGTCCGTTTATAGCAAAAGAAATAAAAAATAAAACAATCTTCTCCAGTCTACGTGACATTAGCGAAGTAAATAGTGCCCAACTAGCACTCCCAGAAGCCAAAAATAAAAGGATTGGATTGAATGGAAAAAAAAACTCGTCAATAATCTATACATATAATAAAATTGTAACTAAGCCGAATCTGTACATTAAATATTTTTTGGAAAATCTTATTGAAATAGACATTATTATCGTTACAGAGGCCGAATCTACAGTTTTTAGATTTTTTGTCTGTCTGTCTGTCTGTTACCGCATCACAGAAAAACCACGGAGGAATTTTGATGAAATTTGGTATGGCTATAGCTGGTTATCCGGGTCAACATATAGGATACTTTTTACCGCGGGAAAATGTCTCATTTCTGAGAAAAAATACAAAAACTGTAACTGTAAGAGTATACTAATATGTAAAACCTAAGAATTTAGGTTTTGGTCACCTGAACGCGGGCGGAGCCGCGGGCAATCCTATTTAACTATATATAATTTTAACAGTGACGTTTATAACCGTTTTAATCTATTATTTAAAATTAAAATTTGCAAGGAAGTTCGCGATACTTGAAAAATCATTATTATACTCTTAGTGTTGAAACAGAAACTCACTATCTAGCATAAAAATATGTAAATTTTTGCATGCATCATAAAAAATTCGAGCCCATTATAGCGAACTGCTCTACAAACTCATTTGCAATAACAGTCGGAACTCTTAATGCCTCTGAATAACTGGCGCAAGATTGTAATAACCAGACTTTTAAAATAGCCAGATTTCTTTACTCTTTAAAAATTGAACTTGAAATTAGGTTGATTCTGCCAAATGAAAATTCACTTTTTTGAACGGTCACTGTTCAAATTAAATTAAGATATTGTACCGATGTGGTTCAAGGGGTGATAACAGAGACATTGGGTTTGATACCAGAAAGGTAAGATGTGTGAGAACAAGTGCTTTTCAGAGCCATACTATTAGTAGTAAAAAACGGAGAACGGAGAGTGGAGTCTCTTCATCAATACTCTCTCTCTCTCTCTCGATGGGAGAAAATCTAAAGATAAAAATATATTAAAAAATATAGATATTGATAGTTAACGTAGATAGATATTCGGGAATGTGTGTTAGAACAATATTTTGGCATATTTCCAACTTCTACAAAGCCAGTGTTTTAAACGAAAAACCCTTGTGATTTATATATTCGTAGATCATTTAGCAACAAATGCTTAGATGAAGAAGATATATTACATATACACCTAAATTACTTACTGATTATACCTATTGTGATGATACTATGTCGGAAACCTTCAAGGGCTTATGTCCAACTACTCTTATGTTTTTTCCCTATTGGTTGAATATGGAATGCTTGCGTCATGAACAGATAAATATACATTTATTTTTATACATAAAGATTATTATTATAAAAACTATTTAAATCATATTTTTTAACTTTCATTTTTACCTTTTCGAACATATAATAAATTTTAAAATAATGATACATTTAGAAACATGTAAGATATAAAGTTTTAAAGAGAATACATACGAGTATACTTTAATTTTGCATCTATTATACACTATTAGCTTATGGATGGATGTACGTATAACTAAAAAAATCATTTATTTCTTAAACCATTTATTTACCGCTAATAAATTATTCAACTGTAAATTCGTTTTATCATTCTCAGTATATTTTGGAGTTCTTTCGCTCTCATTTAAGCTATAACACAGATGGCTTACTACATTAGTACAAATACCCTATCCCATATAAAGAAGTTGGACAGCGCTAATTCGGGTTATTCTTCGAACTATTTTGTTTTCCTCAATAGATAATAGATGTCGTTAGTCAGCAAACCATCAAACTAATTTATTTTAGATATATGTATGTATAAACTAAAATATTTTATATTTATGAAGTATTATTTTTATTTAGTTAAAAAAACGAGCGGAACGAGTAATATAAGAAGAGAAGATTTGGTTAGACAGTGTTTTTTATATTTTAATTTGTTATCGTGGCGCCATATAAACATCATAGCACGTAAATTAATCACCAATGAACGTCGTATGAAGTGTTCTATACATAAATTATGTTTAGATTACATAAGAAAAAGTAGCACAGCAAAGATAGTTTCTATCATGATATATCTATATTACAAATTAATAAATACTAAGTTGCTTATATCGAAAGATCGAAATTGGATGACAAGTGTGACCAAACCGCATACGCAATACACAAACTCCTTTGGCAGAGTAAATTCATTTGTAAAATAGACGTGCATACGTCCACTATATAAAACTTCTTTATAAGAAATTCAAAAAGCAGAGAAACAGAATAAGGCTGCAAATATTATAGTTACGAGTATATTATAGTTAGTTTAAAAAAAACTAATTTGCATATAAAAATTCGTGTAAAGCTTTACATATAAATTTATGAATATCAAGACATAAAAAACGCCTTCGAGCTTTTACGA